CTTATCCGGCCATAACAAGACAATTATAACTTTAACGTTTAGGTAGTCTTTTTTTTAAAGACCAAAGCTGTATCCTTCTAAGTATGTTTTAATGCATTTGAACTTTTTAACAAGCAAAATATTTCAATATAATAAGCATAGTGTTTTAATGAATAAAAGTTGTAAAAACAATTTCTTCATACATATCATGGTCTAAATAAGTCTTATCTTCTCTAGCCTATGATCAATATAATTCACCTGGCACTATAAAGAATTTTTATGCAGTTAAACGGGTTCAATCCCTAGTAATATGACTACATTGCTGCAGTGCATGATGTTAAAATACATTTATCTCTTCAGTAAAGTATCTATATGATACTCCAATCTAAATAAAAGTCAAATGAGTGAAATTCGACATCCAGAACATTTGGTACTCCTGTGGATAAAATAAAAGAGAAGAATAGCGTGAATATTAGAAAGAAACCAGTATAAGAAAAGGAAAAAGGATACAGATCCAAGCGGTAAAATTTACGATGCAAGGTTCTTCAGATTTATTAAAATGAGTATCAAGGATAAGAAAATATCCAAAAATCTGAAAATGCTAAAGGAACATTAAATGCCGGTGATTTTTTCAATAGAATTGAAGTTAATAAGGATGAACGTAATAAACTCGAATGTTTTCAAAAATCAGCAGAAGCAGAAAATCTTAATAAAAACATACAATATGGTCCTGGTTATGAAAATGCTAATAAGATATTTAATTATTGAGATATATTTGAAGGTAGTCATTTGAATGAAGACTGAAGATTGTATAAGATATACTAATGGAGTATATGGTGTTGGTTATCATTATGATAGTGGAAATAAAACCAGGAAGGATTGCTAAAGGCAGCCATTTAAATGAACAATACAATCCTATTGCCAAAATCTGCTGATATAGATGTTGATTGAACATATCGGTAAAATCGATGATGTAAGCACACATGATAACTAAATAAATATGTAAAGCATTTAATGAGACTCAGATATGGGACACACTAGAGAGACAGTAACTGCCGTCTATGCGGAGTTGAAGTCGAAACGAACGAAAGTAAAGCATTCGTTAATTATCAAAAACTTGTGGAAATGAGTCATATTACTAAAACATATTATTTAGGACCTTGTTAGTTGAAGGAAATTTCTGCTGAAATCACACTTGCTGAATGGACATTTAATGTTGGATGTTATTATCACCGTTAGACTGGAGTCAATAAAAATGAACATAAAGTGCTCGAACATTGTTAAATTTTAGTTAAATGAGAAATCTTATCGGAATAGATGATGCTAGTTACAAAATTAGAGGTTATCAAAACGAATTGAGTGTTAAAAGTAATGAACAATGAGTCTTCACCTGGCGATACTCGTAAACTTGTCAAAGAACTTCCTGATGAAACTTATGAAAGCACTCCAAATGGTATCGATATATAAGTGCGATTTTTATTAATAAAAAAAACTTTAATGTTAAATCATTATACTAAATCATTATACTTTTAGTTAGATAAAACTTGCTACACAAGGACAGATTCATTACAGAGCTAAATTCTTCCTATTAGAACCTCTTCCAAAACCTATTCCTGATTTCTTGCCAATCTTAAGGATACCTTTTGATCATTCAATGTTTTACAACCTTATCACCTTACAAGCCCAAATGGTAGTTTCTCTTCTTCTGATATATTAGCCAATCTATTCGATTTTGAATCTCAGAATCAACTTTTAGAATTGTATAATATCAATGTCAATGCTATGAAGATCATCTTTTAAAGAGTGATCTTACTGTGTAGACCACTAGTATGTTTCTATAGTTCTTACTGTTCTTATTAAAGGTTTATAGAAGAAAATAGGATGGTGTTTATGAACTTGCTAAACAATACATTAGCAATTATTTGTTGCCAAAAACCTGTAGACATTGATGGTACTGGAGGTGAATTTATTGTTGGACACTGTTATTAGTAATGACAAAGAGGATGAACCAAAAGCAATCATTCATTATTATCATTGATTGGAGTCCATAAAGATGAGCATAAAATATTTATTCACAACCAAAATCTGTTGATATGGGTCATTCCAGTAAGTGAATAACTCTAGACTATAAAATAAAATTGGTGATGAAAAGTCTATATAAAAAGCTAATGAGATGAATAACCCTTAGTACATACATATTACGATGAATAGAAAAGAGTAGACGAAAATCAAACATTATATACCTGTCAAAGTCTGTTAGTATGGGTTATGCGATCATTCTGCTGAAAATTACTGGAAATTGGATAAATGATATTAGGACATTTGAATAATAGCTAAAATTTGCTAGGTGAGAACAATGAATTAAAAGAACATATAATTAAAAGCCCTGATGTTAGTAGACAGAGATTTTAGTATTAATTTTATTTCATTTTATTTTAATTAAACATATTTATGTATACGTATGCTAATTAGCGTTACTCTATTCAAGAGCTTGGGCATTTATATATACAGATCAAATATTGAAAAACTATATTAGAAAAAGCTTGTTCGAAGTATGTAGTTAGATTTTGTTTAAATATACAATCATATCATTCATTATTTATGTCAAAGATACTAACAAGTTTGATTATATTTGATCAAATTTGTCAGAAAACAGTTAAAGAAATTTTATTCTTTGATGCTACTTGCTTCTGGCAAATTTAATCAGATATAATTAGATTCGTTAATGATTTATCATATGATCGATTGTATTGTTATTCGGATAGATTAGCAGCACAACCAAAATTCCTGAATTATGGGTCAGAATGGACCGGTGTTGATTAATTTTGCTGTAATATACTTAGTTGTTACTTCTTAATGCTGGCCTAAATCCATAATTCGGGCCGATCTGCTGAATTTTGGTTGTGTTATCATGATGATCTTCACCCAATCAAATAGATTTTCTATTATGTTATTGATTTTTATTGCTAGTGAAATTTTTTTCACTAAAGTCGCGTAATATGACAAAAATTTGATTGGCAGATTTTAAAAAAAAAAATAAAAATAAAAATACGATCATTAAAAGATTTATCTGTTACTTAAATATGCTTTACAACTACTATAAGGCAGCCAACGCAAGATCTACAAATATTGCAAGATTCTTAACTACAAGCCCTACAAGCTTCACAAGCTCCACAAGCTCCACAAGCTCTACACGCTCCACATGCTCCACAAGCTCCACAAGCTCCACATGCTCTACAAGCTTCACAAGCTTCATATGTTCTATATGCTTCACATGCTTCACAACTACTGATTTTGGTAGGAGAAATTTTCCTATTATATCTTTCTTTTTTTCTTAAAATGTCTCTTCCTTCTTGAAATGCCTGGTATTTTCTCTTCCTTCTTGCGAAGCCCTCTTCATTATATAGTGTTGTTAGATTTTATTTGTCTAGTAGCTTTTTACAGTAGTATACTATAATACCACCACCACTAATCCAACCACAGCTACAACAGCAAATACGTACCACTACTGACAACACTTAAAAATGAAGTATCCCACACTTTTGTAAAATTTAAATCCTGTGTTGAAGTTTCCAATTCTAAAAAAAGAATTGGTTACATTTTTTATAAGAGTGCAGATAACATTTGTTTTTAATGCATTT